AGCGGGGACCCGCAGTGGCAGCTGGGGGCGCCGCGATCGCGTGGGCTCCGCCCCTGCCCCTGCAGGACGCCTCTGGCTGAGGCGTCCGCCCGGGCAGCGGGGACCCGCAGCTGCAGCGGCCCCGCAATCGTTGGCTCCGCCTTAGGCCCAGGCAAGGGACCCCTAGCTCCCGGGACTGCCAGCTTCGACCGTGCCCAGCTCCCATCGCTGGCTCCACCCCTACTTCCTGCTATCACTGGCCAGATTCTCCGATCATAGCTGGGGGGCAGGGCAAAGGCGGCCCTCTTAGCTCCCCCCTAGGTTTCCGATCACTGTCAGTGGCAGGGGGCTTCTTCCTGCTTTCCCTTTCACCTCCCTGCATTGTGCCTACATATGCAAATTAAGCACCATCCTGTTGGCAGTTAACTGCCAATCTTAGTTGGCACTTAATTTGCATATAGCCCTGATTAGCCAATGAAAAGGGTAGCGTTGTAAGCCAATTACCATTTTTCTCTTTTATTAGTGTAGATTATCTTCCTGCCTTTGTTTAGTCCCTTTAAATTTTCATTTGTAGCTTTTTCCCTTAGTATCTTATAAATTAGTCTTCATTGCACTATCTTTTTATTTCTTTTCTGAATTCATTCAACATGTTTTTTCATTTCTTACTGGTATTTCATACATGTGAGGATATTTAATTCATTTTTGAATTACAGTTTTCTTACTGGATGCCTGCCTTTGTGAATTTTGTCTTATTGGATATTTATATTTGATTAATATTCTTGAGCCTGTTATATTCCAGCAATATTCCAAAGCTTTGTTCTGGAAGCAACTTGGTCCTTTTAGGTTTTTCTTTTAAGGGTTGTTAGGCTCACTGTTTTGAATACTAGAAATTTGTCAAGAGAGTAGATTTCAGGTGCTCTCATCAGCAAAGGAGATATGTTAATTAACTTGACTGTAGTTATCTTTTTTCTATTTACATATAAGTAAAATTCTCACAACTTAAACATATATAATTTTTACTAAATAAAACAAAAAATGTGTTAGGCTCAAGCAGAGCAGTACTTAGGCTACCAGCGGTCAGCAAACTGATTAGTCAACAGAGCCAAATATCAACAGTACAACGATTGAAATTTCTTTTGAGAGCCAAATTTTTTAAACTTAAACTATATAGTACATTGTTATTAACTTAATTAGGGTACTCCTAAGGCTTAGGAAAAGCCACACTCAAGGGGCCAAAGAGCCGCATGTGGCTCGCGAGCCGCAGTTTGCTGACCACGGGGCTAGACGACTGAGGCAAGATTCTCAATGTACTTTACTCAGTGCCCTGGGATTCATAAAGTTGTGTACTCTGACTCTTGGGCACAGGCACTGGATGAGCACTATTACCTTTAATCTTTTCAGGTGGCCCTTTCCTGGTCTTGGGCAGTTTTCTGACACAGAAGTGTTGATTAGTTCTCTACTAAATACTCAATGTGTAAACTCTGAAGATCTCCAAAGTCCTTTTTCTCTGTATCCTCTTCTCTCCAATCTCCTGACTTTTGGTCACCTTCATCTCTCTGGACTTTTAGCTTCATGGATTCAGCTCAGAGAGTCTGCCAAGTTTCACCTGGATTCTCCCTCTGTCACAACTTGGAAACAACCTCAAGTCACTAACCTGGGGCAGTTGTAGGACGCACTTTCTTTTTTTCTCTCCTCTCTCGGGGATAACTGTCCATCATCTTGATAAGTGCTGTTTCATGTTGTTTTGTATGGGTTTCTGTTTTTGGTTATTTCAGCAAGAGGATAAAAAGGGTCCCTGTTACTTCATCTTTGCCAGAAGCAGAAGTTTGTTCTTTAAATTTTAACAACTCAAGATAGTTTTTGTTGATAAGGCCATAATCAGGCAGACCAAAGGATTAAGGAAAAGATATTACAATTTTAGAAAAATTAAATAGTAGGAAATGACTTGAATAGGTAACAGGAAATTCACTCCTTTAAAAAGGCATATTGTAAACAAGTGGCATAGGAATTGCCAATTGAAATTCAGGTCCCAGTTGGATAGCCATATAAGTTGTTTATAATTTAGACTGTTGGTGGTAATAATGATTTTTTATTCTTTGCTCCTTTGTTTTTTCTTATCTTTCTGTGTACTTGCTCTTTTAAACCCTTTCCTGGATATAATAAAAATCTATAATAGCAAGTTAAGCCATAAAAATGAGCTATGGCCGAAACCGGTTTGGCTCAGTGGATGGAGCGTCGGCCTGCGGACTGAGGGGTCCCAGGTTCGATTCCGGTCAAGGGCATGTACCTGGGTTGTGGGCACATCCCCAGTGGGAGATGTGCAAGAGGCAGCTGATTGATGTTTCTCTCTCATCGATGTTTCTAACTCTCTATCTCTCTCCCTTCCTCTCTGTAAAAAAATCAATAAAATATATTTTTTAAAAATGAGCTATGAAAGACTATACTTAGCATCTTATATTTGTCAGATCCTGGATCTCTTGTCTGTATGTTTAGGTGGTTTAACTTTTTTATCGTTCCACTTGATATTTTTTTGTTAAACTGTCAGAAAACATGAGCTGGTAGGTCCTATTTAGCATTTTCATTGACTTAAGTTTTCTTTACTTCAGATTACACCGGGCAGAGTTTTTAATAGTTTCTCTATGTCAGAAAATCTCTGTATAATATTAATGTATTTTTGTATGTTTTTAATAGGTGTAATTCTCCAAAAATTATATAGCCTGAATTTCAGTTATAGTGCTATGATATATTACTTAGTTTTAAAGTCTCCACATATGTGATTATTACAGACATCACAACGATTTTCTTCGGTTGATGAAGAAACAAAACTTCATAAGACTATGTCTCAAGGAGAGATTACGAAGTTGGCAGTGAGAGAGAAGTCTTCAGATTCGGATATAAGGTATAAAATATACACTGAAAGTTAATAGGGATAATATAACTTATTTCCTAATTGACTATAGTTAAATACTTAGCTTCTTTTCAAAAACGTAATTGACAGAACAGTTAGTTTTGAAATTTAGCTATTTTCAACAAGTATTAAGTACCAACTGTGTGACAGGCACATAATAGTTCAGATGTATAATAAGCTTTATCTTTCTAAATGTGAATTGAGCAAAGTGTTTAAATAATTATATGATTTGTGATTTTTTTTGTAGTTGTAAAAGAAGAGATTAGACCAGATGAGATTGAAAATATTTTTTAGTTTTAGACTTAGAGTTTATTCTGAGTTAAGTGATTTACAAATGAAACTGGAAAAATCTTTTGGGAAATAATTCTGTTGTTTTTAAGAGAGTATGTAGAATTTTTATTTGTCAAATAAATATATTTGGGATGTGAAGAAAAGGGAAACCTAGTGCACTGTTAGTAAGAATGCAGATTGTTGCAACCACTATGGAATGTTCCACTATGGAACATCCAGTGTGGCTGTTCCTCAAAAAATTAAAAATGGAACTGCCTTATGACCCAGTGGTTACACTTGGGTATATATCTGAAGAAACCTGAAAGACTAATTTGAAAGAATATATGCATGTGTATGTTCACTGCAGCGTTATTTACAATAGGCAAGATATGGAAGCAACCCAAGTGCCCCTCAATAGATGTGTGGATAAAAGAGCGACGGTCCATTTATACAATGAAATATTGCTTGGCCATAAAAAAAAAAAAATGAAGTCTTACCTTTTGTGACAGCATGAATGGACCTAAAGGGTATTATGCTAAATGAAATAAGCCAGTCAGAGAAAGACAAATACCATATGATTTCACTTATATGTGGAATGTAATGGAACAAAATAAGCAACAAACAAACAAAAAAAACCCACACTCATAGATACAAAGAATGGACTGACAGTTGTCAGAAGGGAGGGAAGTTGGGGGAATGGGTGAAAAAGGTGAAGAGATTGAGAACTACAACATTGGAAATGTGATCAGTAATATTATAATAACTGTGTATGATGCCAGGTGGATGCTTGGGGCAGCAGGCAGATCATTCTGTAGACTATGTGATTTTCTGGCCACTTTGCTGTACATCTGGAGCTAGTGCAGAATGGTGTTGGCCTGTGCTTGGGGGGTGAGGGACAGTGAACTGGCCCCGGGGGGGGGGGGGGGGTGATTAAAAGAAAAATAAAAACAGCCAGTTTACAATAAAAACACAATTTTATAGTATTTTAATTGACAATGAAGAAATCATTATAGGAAAAGAAGAAATTTTAAAGTAATTTTACATTTATTTTAAAAAATGAACTTGAGCCCAAACCGGTTTGGCTCAGTGGATAGAGCGTCGGCTTGTGGACTGAAAGGTCCCAGGTTCGATTCCGGTCAAGGGCATGTACCTGGGTTGTGGGCACATCCCCAGTAGGAGATGTGCAGGAGGCAGCTGATCGATGTTTCTCTCATCGATGTTTCTAACTCTCTATCTCTCTCCCTTCCTCTCTGTAAAAAAATCAATAAAATATATTTTAAAAAAATAAAAAATGAACTTGAAGTACAAATAAAATTGAACTATTTCAAGAAAAATATTTGCTGCCAAAACTAACTCTGGAAAATATTTAAAGAAAAATTAAGCAGACTAAATAAATAAATATCTTTGTTCCTTATTGTGTTATATAAAGCAGTCAGGCTCTCACTGAACACTTAAAGATCACATTGAAATCTATGGTTCATAACACTATTAAAGACCAGTTCCTTAATGATTGTATAGGCATAAGCCAGATAACCCAAATCCAGAGCAACTTATCCTAGAGAAATTTTGGCAATCTAGAAAGAACATATAGCTGGAGATAGCAGCTTAAGTATACAAATTTAATTTTCACTTTCTCCTTCAAAATTACTGAAGTGATAAAACCTATGCAGGACAAAAAAACAACAACAGGAAAACAGCACAAGACAACAACAATAAAGCTGTGGTATCCAAAAAGTAAATAGCCCAGCTGGCATGGTTCAGTGGTAAAGTGTCGATCTATGAACCAGGAGATCACGGTTCAATTCCCAGTCAGGCCACATGACTGGGTTGTGGGCTCCACCTCCAGTGTGGAGCATACAGGAAGCAGAAGGGAGAGGGAGAGAGAAATAGAAACATCAATGATGAGAGAGAATCATTGATCAGCTGCCTTCTGCACACCCCCCTATTGGGGATTGAGCCTGCAACCTGGGCATGTGCCCTTGACCGGAATCAAACCCAGGACCCTTCAGTCCACAGGCCGACACTCTACCCACTGAGACAAAGTGGCTAGGGCTTCTTTTTTACCCTATTTTTTGATCACTACACATTTGAGGGAACATCTTAAATGAAATAAACTAAAAATAATACATAAAATACAATTTGGAAGAAATAAACTATAGGGGAGAAGGAGGAGGAATTCAAGAAAAAGTACAATTTTTTTGACAAGTAAAATTTTCATTAGACCTAGATTAATAAATATTACTACATTTATGAACCAGAGTGCATGAAAAAGAAACATTCATAATGAAAAGAGCTTTTGAAAATTAAAAGCATAATAGCATAAAGAAACAACTCAGACGTGTTAGAAAAATGAGACCATATCTCATAAAGTTGAGCAAATAGGCAAAGAGATGGAAGAGACAAGAAAAAATAAGAAAATCAGAGGAGCTGTTCAGCAGATTCAATGACCCACTGATGGGAGCTTTGGAAAGATAGAACAAAGAAAATGGAGGGGATAAAATCATTAATAAAGTAACTCAAATTTTATAGAACTGAAGGGCATGAATTTCTAGATAGAAAGGTCCCACTAAGAGCCTAACATAATGGCTGAAAATAGACTCATACAAAAAGATATCTATACTAATAAAAGGGTAATACGTTAATTAGACTGGACATATTCCAGACAAAGCCAGGGTGGTGGGGCCGAGGCAGAAGTGGATAGGGGCGACCAGGCTGGCAGGGGAGGGCAGTTGGGGCAACAGGCTGGCAGGGGAGGGCAGATAGGAGTGACCAGGCTGGCAGGGGAGGGCAGTGAGGGGTGACCAGGCAGACAGGCAGAGTGCTTAGGGGTGATCAGGCAGGCAGGTGAGCGGTTAGGAGCCAGCAGATCCAGATTGCGAGAGAGATGTCTGACTGCCGGTTAACCCCCTGAGAGGTCCGGGAGTGGAGAGGATGTAGACTGGAGCTCTGATCACTGGCCAGGCCTAGGGACCCTACCCATGCACAAATTTCATGTACCGGGCCTCTAGTCCATATATAAAAAATCCAGGGACCAAAACGACCAAACGACTGGTCGCCATGAGCTGGCATTGACTGGCAAGCGGGCTGAACTGCTGACCTCTTGGTCCCTCCCCCTGACTCCCGTAGGTGGCGGTGGCTCCCTCCCTCCTCCTGCAGACGGTGGCAGCTCCCACCCGCCTCCAGTGAACCACTGCCGCCCACTGTAGCCAGCAACCAGTCTGATCAGGGGGTGGGGCTGGCCAACCTCACAGCCCCTCCCCCTGCCAGCCTCTCCCTGATCGGACTCTCCCATTCCGATCAAGAGTGGGTTGCATAGAGCCTGGACCCTTCCTAGCAGCCCCCAGTCCTTGGGGTTAAGAATTCTAATGGCCCTGCCCAGAGTGTAGAGGCACCTGACAGACAGGGACAGGATCACAGGCCTCCAGGGAGCACTGCAGATTTGGCAAGAAGAGGAGAGGGCCTGCGGAGGGAGGAGGAGGTGAAGCCAGCAGATATCAGCCCAGAATCCAGCCCTTGCCCCTAGAGGCAGCGGGCCCAGAGGCAGAACCCCAGCATGAATCGGAAGAACCAGAGTGAGGCTTCAGGAAGCTCTACGCAGAGCTGCTCATTGAGAACGAGAGACTTCGTGAGGCCCTAACTGAGACCACGCAGCTGGCTGGTGCAGCTCAAGGTGGAGCTGGAGCATACCATGCAGAGGCAGGAGCGCTTTGCAGAGAGGCCAGCCCTCCTGAAGCTGGAGACATTTGAGCGCAGGGCCCTGGAGCACATGGCCGCTGAACTGAAAGAGGAGCTGAAGGGCCTGTCCAACCTCCGGGCTGACAACAAGCACCTCAAGGACAAGAACACGGTCCTGATCTACATCATCAGCAAACTGTCCAAGTGACCCCAGAGGACTTGCCCCTGCACCCACATTTATACACCTGCTTCTGCCACACACACGCTTTCCCCTGTGTGAACACAAGTGATAGGGCTACCGGGGAGTCTCTGGGAAGCCATAACCTCCCCTGGGGACCTCCAGGCTGTGAGGGGACCTCCAGGCCAAGGGGGCCATCTGAGGCCAGGATGGAGAGGGAAGGCTGAACCAGGTAGGGGGACCAAGGCTGCAGGCAGGACCAGGAAGGAACCGAGGACCAGGAAGTGCCAGAACCAGTAGCCAGGACCAGAGTGGCCACCTGGAGGTCCCCTCTCACATGTGCTGCCACGAGTCATCCCTCCTGTCCCTGAGCAGGGATCCGAGAATGTGCCAAGCATCCGGCTGGCCTGGGTGGGTGGGCCTGTATATAGGGTCCATGTGCAAAAGGGAGGGGCGTCTTGTATTTTTTGCTTCCCCCTCCTTGACGCTGGGGGAGAAGGTATTTTTGAGCGCCACAGGGCAGTGGGCGGGGCTGTGAGCAGCGCAGGCTACCACACGTGTGATTTCACGCACTGGGCCCCTAGTCCTATCTAATAAAAGAGAAACATGGTAATTAACGTATGACCACTACCCTTCCCATTGGCTAATCAGGGCGATATGCAAATTAACTGCCAGCCAAGATGGCGGCCAGCAGCCAGGCAGCTTGAAACTAACATGAGGCTTGCTTGCTTCAGTATCGGAGGAAACCAACGTTCCCCGCCTGCCTTGCCGGCCTCTGAGCCTGCAGTTTGAAACATTGTAACAAATATAGAAGCTAAAGAAAACCCCAGAAACCTGCTTTCAGCGAGCCGGGATCTCAGAGCTGGAG